GAGAACAAGCTGAACTCCACCTGCCATTGGCAGGACAAAGATTTGTTTTCCCTTGAACAAGACTGCATGATAGACTGATCACAAAAGAGACAATCTTTTGTGGAATTGACATCTCTAAGTCTAGAGCTTTTGCCCGGAACATGGAACAATGTTCAAATACTCCCAGTGAGAAATCTCCAAGGTAGTTATAAAATGCCCCATCAGAGATATTTTAAAAATGTATCCCATACTCTATAGTGTACTGTGTTGCCATATATTTTTTTTGTGGATATTGTATTTTGTGTTTTTGTGTCCCACCATGTCTATTTTTCATTTTCAGTATAGTACTCAGTAAATGAAATATTCAACACCTATTACAAAATAGGCTGTGTGTTATATGAATTTAGCCAACTAGAGGGTAATATAGGTGTTCATAGCACAATGAAGACAGACTAAACTGAGCCAAGATATTTGGTGGGTTAGGTGTATTAAACACATTTTTTACTTGAATATTTTTAACTTATCATGGCACTACAGAGGCACAGCCCTCTTTAAGGCTTGTACGTAATTGAAGGTCTATACACATTTATTGCCAATAAATAGAATACTTATTGTTTGGTAGCATTCTGAACTTCTACAAAAATTGACCAAAAGTGTATGGCCACAAATACTGGGTTAATCATAATGTAGTACAATTAGAAATAGAAAAGGAAAGTTATAACTATCCCAAATACCTACTTTAAAAAACTCAAGTTATTAAGAAAATTATATTAAACACTTAGAATACTACCACATCAACTTAATGCAATATTGCTAAAATAGTAATTAGAAATATCCCATTTAGAAGCATTTATTAGGAAACAAAGATGGTTGAGAACAAATGAGTCATGTTCTACTCAAGAAGTTGGTAAAAGACCAATAAAGCAAGCTTGAACAAAGAAACAAGCAGGAAAAATAGGAGAAACAATGGACTAGCAAACAACACAAACATTAGAGAAAATCAGTCTTGTGAAATGCTGATTCTTAAAAAATAAACATCTGGCAAGATGGGGAAGACACAAATAAGCAAAATGCAGAAAAGGAAAATAAGCACTGATGGGATATAGAACTTTAAAAAAATAAAAGAATGTTATGAACAGTAATAGTCTAGGTTTGCTGAGAACTCGAAAGACTGGATTAATTTCTAGAAAAGCATTAAATGAAAAGAAGGAGAAAAATATACCAACAAGTAAAAAATAAAAATACAAATCATTCCTGCAAATCAACAGGGAAAAAAGTAAATCTAACAGAAAAATAGGCAAAGGATGTAATCATGTGATCATGAACTCTCCACAGTCAAGGAACTCTAAATGGCATAGTAAGTAAACAGAATGTTCAAGCTCACTTGTATAAGAGTAATACAAAGTAAAACATCAAAGTTGTACCTCTTCCTACTAATCAGATGGGCAAAGAATCAGAGGTTTGGAAAATGCCAGGGTTTGGTGATACCCAACAACAAGGACTTTTGCCCTTTTGCTGGGTGGGAGAGTTGACCAGCAGAAGCAATTTTATTTTTATTTTTTAAAAATGTATGCATTTATGCATAAAATTGACTTATGTATGCATCCAGGGCAGAGGTGCAGAAGCAGTGAGAGGATTCACCAGAGACAGTGTGGGGATGGAACAGGCAGATGGACTGAAATACTGCTGAGGGGAGCAGTGAGCAAGAGGTCTGCTGCGCCATGTGGTTCAGCTCCCTGGTCAGGGATGGAACTGGTGTTGAAGTGGCTGCGTTGAGCTTGATAGTGTTGTGCTTTAACCCATTTTAAAGGACAACATGACAGTACTTTGTGCAATCAAGAACGCATGTGCCCTATGATTTAGGGCCCCTCCCTTCTACTCCAAAAACTTCTCACAGCAGTCTATCAGGGCACAAGGAGAGCTGTGTTTATCATGGTGTTGTTTAGGATGGTGCGAGGCTAGAGAGAATTTGAGGTGCCCTCTTGGAGAATGAAGTCAATGTGGAGGCTGCACATGGGAACATTCTACCAGAAACTCTACTACCTTTTCAGGCTACATTAAACCTATCTATTCTCTAGCATCACTCACAGTCATGAAAAATACATACAATCAAATATGTCCAGTCTACAAAAAAAAATCCCAGGCTAAATACCGAGCATATTAAGAGAGATGTTTCTGGGGGGAGGGAATTAATGTGTGGAAAGAAGATCAAAGAGAATGAATCAATAAAACAGGAAAGGGGCCTTGGGTGTTTTATTATGTGCCATGAACTCATGTTATGATTAACTTAACCCTCTACATATGAAGATAAATAAAAAGGGACTAGTAGCCTGCTGTGGTTGGGAAATCTTCAACTTCCAAATCATTGAAGGTCAACTCTAAGTTTACTGTGTACACAAATTCTCCTCTTGCAACATGGTGCCCACCTTTGGTGCCCATGCCCAGTATCTCAAGGACCCACAGGCTGAATGCGTGGATGCTTTTAGAGGATTCCAGACTTGTACTAAGCCCTTTTTTAGAACCCACCACTGTTTCAGCATCCACACATGTTTTTCCAACCAACTTACAAGAAGCTAGTCTAAAAATCATCTACAAAATTCATCTCACAAATAAGCTTATCTGAAGTGAGTTTTTATCTTAATGCATAGATGAATTGTCCCTTGCTGCTAGAATGATTTTTTAAAAGAAGTTACTAGTGTTTTTTTTCCCCCTAAGTTACCAATTAAGTATGTTTCTCTCTAATGCTGGTTGGGGACACTCTTATGAGATAGAATTAAAAATCCCATTTTTAGTTATTGTGAGATGAAATGTGATTGGGGGGAAAAGCACTGCTGTTCTTTATTTCAAAAAAGAAAGGAAGAGAATTAACAAGCAATGCCTTGGAATTGACTGAGACATAGCCAATTTAAACTCTCGGGGTTTCAATTTCCTTGCCCATAAACCTGGGATGCATTGGTCTTAGGGTTGGAGAGAAGAAGAAGCAAATCATGCATGTATCATGCTAGATGCAATGTTGAACACAGTGGTTCTTGGAAATAAGCAGCTGTTTCTGTTTACTTTATTTATGGTATGCCTGTCGTTTCAGGTGCTGTTACGTCCATTGCTCCCCTTAGCGTTCCAGCAGCCTCAGGGAAGGAACTAATTTTTTCTTTAAGATTTATTTATGCATACAGCCCTGGGGTGCAGGCCATAGGTGCAGGGCGGTAAGAGGATTCACCAGAGACAGAGTGGGGAACAGAACAGACAGATTAACCACGAAGCCCACTGCTGAGGGGAGTAGTGGGTGAAACAGGAGAGGTCTACAGCACCGTATGGATCACCTCCAGGGAGTTGAACTCCAAGCAGCTGTGGCTCCTTGCAGTACTGTGCTTTCACCCACTGCTGTGCTACCAGGGAGGGCACAGCACTGATCTTTGTAAGGCAAACCTGGGTCTGTGTCTGCCACACTGGAGCAAAAATTCTGGAGCCAAAGAATTCAGATTCTCTAGAAGGTGGAAGTCAAGTTCTTGTCCTTCCATGGTGAAGTCAACAACCTTTACCTGACAACTCACTAGAGGAAAAAATAATGAAACACCCAAAGACTTTTGCACAGAAATTATATTTAATTTTCTTTGTAGTCCCAGCACCCAGTAGTAATCGGGGCACACCTCAGAGGCTGGAAAACCCTGGATGGCAATTATTAACCCTCACCCCTACTTTAGAGACAAAGAAATTGAGGTATGTATTTAAGCAGCAGCACACAGCTAACTAGTGCTGGAATCAGGAGAGCATCCATTTGTCAGGAGTCCCAACCTGAGAGTTTTTCTTTTTGGCAGCTGTTTGGTTAGTCTGTCAAAGCAGGGGGAGGAGAGAGGGTGGATTTCTAGCAACCTCTATTATTGGCCTATTTTCTCTCAGCCCATTACCCTATTCTGGGTAAATATTAGGCAGCCACTCAAGGCCTTCAGACCCCAGGTTTCCCACATCCTTTCTGAGCTTCTAACTTTTCAATGTTCTTTAATGTTTTCCTCCCCATCTCAATTTCCTGCCCTGAAAAAATTGGGGTGAAGGACACCTCTCTGTCTTCCTCTTGGGGTTCTCCAACACCCACCAGCTCACTCAACTCCCACCCTGCCCCTCGCATCTATTTTCTTTGGCAGACTTTGTCCTGCCTAAATTGGTTTATTTTCTGTTTCTTGGGGCTGCCTGGCTCCCCGGTGCAGCGTCCTCTATTCTCTCTGCGGCTGAGTCCGACGCCCAGTACATGGCCTGGGCCAGCACAGGTTCTCAAAAATTATTTGTTGCTGCATACTTGTCAGTACTCTCTTCCAATTATCGAACCCCAAATGCCCAACGAATGACTTCTTTCTTATTCATATTCTTGAACCCTTCTGGCAGGTGGCTCTACCATCCCCTTCTGGAGCTCCAACCAGGTAAATATCTGGAACGCATGGCTGGGTTTCAACGCACGTCAGGTTGTCACAACCTTTGCTCCTGACTGCAGGACTCGCCTATTTGTAGTTTTCTGAAGTTAAACACAGAAAAGCAATTTTGCTTAGAACTTAACAGAAAAGACACCCCCCACCCCCATCCCAGCTAAATTAGAATCCTGGCTTTGCTTCTTGGCGGGAGCAACCGGGAAGGATTCTTGTAATTTGTTACCCAGCGCTCTCAGGTTTACCCAAGTCAGAAAACCTGTTCCCCAGACTTGGGAGAGTCGGAAAGTGCCAGCCCAGTTAATACCAGTTAATGCGGGGGGCGGAGGGTAGGGGGAGTATGTGGGGGCTGCGCCCCTCTAGCCAGAGCCCTCCCTCCAGGGCCAAGAGCCAAGTCCCAACTCCCCGCAGTACCACACCCTCCGGGAGCTTCCTCCTCCCCGCCCCCCCCCCACCTGGAGCCCCCTGCGTCAGGACAACGCCCACCGGGGGGCGTTCCTGAGGCCAGAGACACCTTGGAACCTCTCCCTACTCGCTAACGCTGGTTAAAAACCTCCGCAGCACGTGCGGGCGGCAAACCAGCGCCGGATCCTAGAGCTTGAGACCTCCCTCGCCGGCATCCAGCATGTCAGCCGTGGTCTTGGAGACCCGAGGCTTGGGCAGAAAACTCTCCGACTTTGGACAGGTGAGCCAGGGCGAACAGCTGCACAGAGAGGGGGCGTCTGGCCCCGATGAAAAGAGGTCTGAGGAATGTGGGCATTTCCAACTTCAGCAAGCTCTGGAGAACTGAATTCTTTTAAAGAGGATGATCAAGCCGAGTTAGTTATGTGTTGCCCAAGTGGCAGGACAGCTGTCCTATGTGACATTGGGGGAGGTGGTGGTGGTGGGGAGAACATTGTAGGATTTGGGGGTCAGCTTTCAGAGATTCCCGAACTGGTAGTGTAGCTTTTGACAAGCCCCCTCCCTCTCTGGGCTCATGTGCTGGTCCTTAACCACCTGGGATGGGCTTTGCCCTCCTGCCCTTTGGTGATGGTTAGGAGATGCCCAGCCAGGTATTGAGACTCAAAAGGATGAGAAATTGTATCCTTTTCTCGCTTTGGGGAGAAAATGAGGTGTGAAGAAGTCCCCATTTAGGTGGGGGAGGGACCCAGGTTAAGAGTGAGAAAGAAACAACCCTGGAATGTCACAGAACCTGAACTGTGGCTGGAGGGTAACACCTGGGAGGGTTTTCTTTCTCCTGGATTTGAGGTCATTCTCTTAAGATGAACCACCCAGATATGTTCTGTGACTTATCACACTCTGAACTGTAGGGTTAGCCATAAAGCACACCTACAAGCAGGCACAGATCACCTGTAGGTTCTGAGAATAACCGAGGGAATAGGAAACAACAGAGGGGAGGCTGTGTGAGGTTTTGCTGTCAGCTGAGACTGCAACACTTTGGAGTCACTTTCATGAGTCCAGAAAGAGACTTCTTTGAACTGTGCATTGTTTGGGAGATGAGCGACCCTCATGTCAAAGAGGGTTATTGTGGGGGTCGGAAAGATTCCAGACTAGATGGTTCTCCTCAAAGGGAGGAGGTTAGGGGCAGATCTGTGTAGGGAACTAATCTGTGTACTTATGGAGCACCTGGGAGGTTCAGAACCACAAATTGTCAATGACTGGGGGAAAAGAGGAGGGTTTGGAGTGCATCTTGCTACTTCCTTTGGTGCCAAAGTAAGGTGTTTACACCAGAGAATCACAAGTATAGTCACATGAAGAACTGGAATAAAAATACCCACCTCCTAGGGTTGGAATGACATTTATTATTATCATCATGAAACAAAAACAGTGGCATATAATTGGGGCTCTTAACTTAGAAATCAGGGAACACAAATATCAGTCCAGATTGTATCCCCCTGGGATCTTTGTTTAAGGGTGTCTTAAAGGAAAAAGTTGGGGTGGAGTGTAGAATTGCATGAATTGGGGTTGATTACAGTTATTTTTTAGCTCATTGGCTTTTAACCAAAATTGCCTTGGTATCTATGGAGAGAAGAAAAAGGGAAAAAGTCTTCTTTGCAAGGTGGTCAGAGAGGGTCATGCTTAGCTGGTAGCTGTTTTTTTCCCAATCTGGAAATAGTTATTTTTTAAAATTAAAAATTAAATAAGATGAAGTCCCAGACATAAGATGGAGTCAGTTCAGTCATCTTGAACATTGGGATGAGAATTCAGTGAAACAATGTCTATAATGTCTTTGAAGATTTTGGTACCGTTCGTGGAATATAAGGAAATAACAGGAGTGTCTAGGTATAACCCATTTGTTACTCAACAAAGTGGGTCTGGAACACAATACAGAGGAGGGACAAGCACCATGTCAGGCACAGTGGCTGCTGTAGGTGTCACAGAAGGATGCTCAACACGGACTTTGGACACCTGGGCTTCCATCTTCAACGTTCTTAAGCTGTCTTCTAGGGACGTCATCTAATTGGGGCGAGGAGGCTAGGTTGGTATTTATAAAACTGCATGAGGGTTTGGTCTAGAATAGTCTTTAGTTAGCCTTGAAAATCCACAGAGATAATTTTTTCATCTTCTTGATTTAAAATTTGTTTATGTATGCATACAAGAACTGGCCAAATACAGGGGGTGAGAGGACTCACCAGAGAAAGAGTGGGGAGCAGAACAGGCAGCTCTACTGAAATACACTGCTGAGGGGAGCAGTGGGTGGGTTAGGAGAGGTCTGCTGCACTGTGGGTCAGCTCCCTGGCCGGGAATGGAACTCATGCTGCAGTGGCTGCCAATAGCTTCATAGTGCTGAGACTGAACCCCTTGCACCATGAGGGAGGCCCTGTTTATACCTTCTTGAAGCTGCACACATTGATGTAATTCTGACATAAGGTTGGAGGACAGATGATGATATTTGAATAATTACATGTGTGGCAAGAACAACAATCCTGCAAGAAATGTTTAGACTTATTCATGCACCCAGTAGACTTATTGACTTACTATGAGTTTCTGCTCTGGTGAGACTTACATTCTAGTGAAGGAGAAAGATCACGCACACACCAAAATAAATAAATAAATAAATAAATAAATAAATAAATAAAATAACCTCTTGGGTCATATGATTTCATGCAGAGATAAGTGCTGTGAAGAAATATAGGCCAGGGCTATGGATTAGAACGTCAGGACAACTCAGAAATCATAGCTGTAAGTGGCAGGGCCAGTTTTTAAACTCAAATCAGACCCTGCCACCTGAATGTTCTCTTCCATGCTTCTCCTGCAGATGCTGCTGGCTGCAGAGGGGGCATGTGTCTGTGAGCATGGCTCACATGACGCTCACATGACTGCCTCGTGTTTTCAATTGTGTCACACTGGTGATGTCCATGTGTATAATCACATGTGCAAATATACCCCTCTTAAGCATGAACCCCCAAAGACTAGTACTGAAAATCAGTGTCTTTGGAATATTCTTGCCAAAGAATGGTATTGTTTGTAATTTTGAAAACTGCTCTTTTTCAAAGAAAACAAGTATATTTTCTGGACAGAATTGTGCCTTTTGTTAAATATATTGCTTAGCAAAATTCTTTCTCCCTGTTTGCTAGTAAAATTCCTTCTCCCAGCCCTATTTCTTCTTATTTAGTTTCTAAACTGCTCTTCTCTGCATTTTATTTATCCTTGATATGCCTCTGTTTCCAAATCAAGTTGCATGCTTATAGTAACAAATCAGGTGTAGATTGTAAACTAATAAATACAAACTCTGAAAGAGATTTGTCCAAGAGTCCATGCTGGATTAACTTAGTAGTGTCAGCATCAGAATCCATTGAAGACTACATCATTTCAAAAATGTCCGTGAGCTTCCTTTTATTTAAAGACTTTCACTAAAAAAATAAAAATAAAATATTTAAATAAATAAAAAGGCCCTCAGACCTTGGAAAATGAAACTGTTGTCTTTGCTTTGGGTTTGTCAATTGGAGATAGAATAGGACTTTGGATCACAGTTCAGTTCTAGGCTCTTGGACTCATTGATTCTGCGTCGTTGGAGGAGCTTCATTATGCTGAGTCCATTTTCTCACTTGCAAAACAATAGCCCCCACCTCAAGGGGTGTTAGTGAGGATATATGAGCTCTTACAATACCAGTCATTGCCAATGATGATGTCTCTTAACTGTTAGAAGCAACAAGTGTGATGCCTAATGCCTACAGGTTCTTGATCAATAGTTGGCCCTACTATTAACTGAAACAACCACAAAAGGCATAACACCATGTGGTGTCAGATATATTTGTGAAAAGTCATTATTAAAAATTATTCTCTATTTTTATCAGTGTTTTAAATTGTTCGTGGTTAAGAATCATCTGGAATGCTTTGGAAAACACAGACTCTAAAACAGAGATTTCTAAGAGTATCTGGAAAATACCAGACTCTAATTTTATAAGTTTGGATGGGTTGAGGAATCTCCAAACAATTTTGGAGTGGAGACCCAAGGAACACTTATTGAGAAACTCTGATTTAGAAAGTGTATGGGAGAATATAGAAGTAAAATATAGAATATAGAAGTGAAATGAGCCAGGCATGGTCCCCTAAGATGTAGGCTTTTAGGAGTGGTAATGAGTATGATGAGTGGACCAGAATAAAGCCCTTGGTGTGCTAGAAACAGACATCTTAGTCTTCATATGTGTATAGTAGAGAGAATCATCTTGAATGTTTGATATATAGGCATTTGAGTTATTGACCTTGCACCCACTCACCTGTGTAATCTCAGGTATGTCACACTTTCTCTCTTTGGTTCTTAGCTTTTCCATTTGCAGCATGAGGGTGTTGAACTGGGTGAACTCTGAAGACAAGTATAGCTTTGCATCAACTATTATCAATCCCAGGAAGACGTCAGAATCCAAATGGAATGCACAGGTGGTGGAAGGATTGCTCACCTTGACTGAGCAGCACAAAGTTTTCCTGACAGCAGACCAAAGAGGTCTTTTAATGTAGGGCAAGATATTTGGAAATAGGGCAAAAAAAGCATTTACTCTAATGAAGACAGTGCAAGGAGAAAACTGGTTTGCTAGAGGGGAAGTTCCTGTGGGTGAAAATACCACCAAGACTCTCCATGTCAGAAAGAGCTATTTTATCCTACTGGCCAAGGGAACCTCTGAAAAATTTTGAGTAGAAGACGGGAACTAGCAGAAATCTGTCAGGGCTAGCCCAATACGGGTCATGAAAGTAGATTGAGCATGGCATGGTGGTCTTGGGTGCAAAGGAAGGCGCTAACCCCAAGAGTCATATCTGGGAGGCAGATTGACTGTGTGATCAACTAGACAGGCATGAGAGAGGGATGATAATGACACGGGGGGTATCAAGTCTGATTGCTCTGGCCATTGAAGACATTGGTTGAGGCAAGTTGAAGATATTTTCCCTGGAGGCCAACAGAAGGGAAGCTTGCCAAGTGTGCTAGAAATGGGAATCTTGAATTATTTAAGAAAACCAAAAGGACTAAGGGTTCAGTTTCTTGTGGCAGGAAGAAGACTGACACCCCTAACTGCTAACTGGGGAGTTTATGGGAACTGACCATACTCAGTCTTAATTTTGCTATCAATAATAGGGGGCACTTGGAATAAAAATAAAAAACAAATGGAATAAACCTTAGCCTCCCAACTGTTATAAAAATTAAATGGAATAATCCAAATCAAATGCTGGGACATTACAGGTTGCTAATAAATGGTAGATGGATATTTTTAGAAAGATAACCTCATGGTCCTTAGAGGTGGATAGATCAGTTCAAAAGGGATTATGAGCCCTCTTCCTCAGACTTGCTGATAATTTCCCTTCTTCGCCAACATCTCTGTTCCCAGTGAGGTTCTGCTCAAACCTGGATTTTCTGAATTAACAGAAATTTATCTTTAAGGTCATTAGTATTTTGCCGTGCTTATTCTGTTGAGTCTCCAAGAAGGTCTGCCCTACCTGACCTCACTAAGATGATGTAACATCCCTTCTACTGATTGCATTAATTTGCTTACAAGAGAAAAGTAGCTCTACGTGTTTGTTCCTTTCCAGTCTTAGGTGCATCCTGTTTATTTATGGGCAATGGAACTTTATGTTTTTTCACAGAAGTTAACTTAAAAATTTCTTTACAAATTTATGTGTTTTGCAAACATTTTTCTGGAATGCCCACCCTAATCCCACTTTGGTTTGCTCTCATGTGCATGTAGAAAATGCTAGATTCCTTGACATTCTTTGCTAACTTGTTTAAGACATCCACCGTACCATATTTTTTAGAGAATTGAGTATCTCTGATTCCAGCATGTAGACATAAATTAATCCTTCCCTGAGGTTTTTGTCTGAGGCCAAGAAGTTATTCTTGTGCATTTTTATTTATAAAATTCCCACCATTTTTATAGACTCTCTTAATGCTCTATTTAAATTTTCTTAGCTTCTTGTTTGTCATTATCTGAATACTGTTTGTCAGGGCTTATTATTAACATGATCTCACATGAGGAAACTAAATAAGCAAAAGGAGTTGAGAGTCTTCCAGTCAGATTTGGGATGGCAATGCTTGTGTGTGTCTATTTTTAGCACTTTCTTGTATTTTTCAGTGTTTTCCTGACACTTATGAATCAAATTTGAACACGTCTAAGACCTTTCCTTTGGTTATTTGATTTGTTGCATGTGTCTAGTAAGGAAGATTTTGAGCTCCTGAAGGGTGGGACATTGTTTTATTCATTTTTATATCTCTCAGAACCTTAATAATAGCTGGTACATGGTAGATGCTCATTGGAAAGCTCATAATCAAAACATCATAGAGACACTCATAATCAAAGCTCCCAAACTGGTATCTGACCTAGGAGCATCATTGAAAGTTATCACTGCCCTTGACTTACCTCCAGAATAGCTCATCATGTTCCAAGACTTAACTGAAAGAGAGTTTATGCTTGCCTCTACCTTAGAGGTTCATGATAATAAGTTACTCAATGGTGGAATACATTTAATTGAGCTCATTTAATCCTATAGGAAACAAGCTACATTGAAGAAAACTCCAATCAGAATGGTGCCATATCCCTGATCTTCTCTCTCAAAGAAGAAGTTGGTGCCCTGGCCAAAGTCTTGCGCTTATTTGAGGTAAATGTTTTATCCATTTCTAGCTTGAGTAATGGCATAGTGGAATTCTGCACATTTTCTAGTTGGATACATTAAAAAAAAAAAAGGACCAGGATATGGAATTGGAAGATTTGATTTTTTAGCTCAGGCTTACATTAACCAAAATTGTGACCTTAGTTAAGTCTTTTAATCTCTCTATGCTTCAGTGCCTTCATTCATAATCAGAACCAGTTAAAACACCAATTGCATACCCAGGAAGCTGCCCCTCATTTCAGACTTCTTTTATCAAGTCTTCCTTGCATTATTGTTAGCAGTAGTATTAGTAATATCAACTAAGGTCAAGGTTCTAAAACAATGAATATATGAAAAATTGTCCCACCTAAGATGAACCTAAAGGAATTAGACAACTAAATGCAGTGTAGTGTCCTGGATGGGATACCAGTATAGAAATAAAACATTAGGCATAAACTAAAAAAATAATTCAACTAAAGTGTTATCATTAGTTTATGATAATGCACCAGTTGATTCAATTATTGTAATGTAAGTGCCACACTAATATGTTAATAAGAGAAAAGACTGGGTGTGAGTATATGGGGATTCTCTATCCTATCCTTTTAACTTTTCTATTAATCTAAAATTGATATGAAAAATAAATTATATTTAAAAAATATTAATCTTGGCTATCCAACCTGGGTGATTTGCTGAGTCCGAGCAAGTAATGAATGTAGAAAAGGAGGTAGAGCACTCTCTGAATAATAAACTGTTCATGAGCAAAAATAGATGTGTAAACTGCTCCTATGTAACAGGTTAGCCTGGTATTATATAATTAATCAACATTTCCTCCCTGACAGATCAGGTCTTAGTCAGAGTTAATAAAATTAAATAGTAGTTAATTAACAGTGTGTTTTCAAACTAATAAATAAACCACAAGTAACTAAATTACCAGAACTGGATGAAATGTACCCAGGATGAGTGTGTATGTTTACATACATGTATGTATCTGGATGCGCTTTAAAAGGTGTTATCCAAAATATCAACTTTCCTTATCAATCAGTGGTGCTATTATATCCACCATTTTAGGAGAATGAAACGTTTCACTGTACTGGGTGATTGATAAAATGTGTTGTTTGTGCAACAGTGAACATTCAATTTCTACACCATAAAAAATAAATCTAAGGTTAAAAATGGAAAAACAGGGGAAAGTATCTCAACTATAATTTAGGGCATGGTTGGCTAAACAATATTCTATCAAATTCAACATATTAGTTGTGTTTTTATTAAACAATTTTTCCTGGGATAAATATGTTTGGGAAAGTTTACCTATATCTTAGAAAGTCATATTAAAGACTATGATATGTGTGGAATATATACACAATGGAAAACTATGTAATCTTCCTGTTTGCAACAACATGCATGGGACTGGAAGTGATTATGCTGGGCAAGTAAGTGAAAAAGAGAAAGACAATGAACATATCATTTTACTCACAGGTGAAATATAAAGAAATGAAGCTAATGATGAAACAAAACAAAAATAAAAGCATCCTTAGATTCTAACAATGAAATAGTGGTGACCAGAGCCATTGGGGGAAGAGTTGGAAGGTTGGGGAGAAAGGGGGCTGATGTTGGCAGGTAGAGCATTTTAGAAATATGTTGTCAGGTATAATGTGCTATCACACTTTTGCAAAGATATAAAATTGCACTCTAACTTACATGATATTGTAAACCAGTGCTACCTCAATAAAATGAAATTAAGAGACATAAAGAATATAGGGTTTCTGGTAGAGAGGAAGCAAATAACAATCAATGTTTCCTCACTCAGCATTTTGTAAATATATTTCGCATCATCCAAGCAAAGCTGTTAATATCTTGCAGCTGCTAATGTGCCACTAAACTTATGCTGATTTGGAGTTATGTGCTGTAGATTCTTGGTCATAACCTAGATCTGGGATTTGAAGGAGTAAAATAGACTGACCAGAGTGTCTACAGCTGAATTCTTAGGGATCAAAACCAAGATACTGCACTAGCTGTTCTAAGTGACCTTAAGAAAGTTCAAGTTCCTGGTTTCCTCATTTTTAAAATGAAAGTAGTAATAAATGTGTATTGTAGAGTTTTATGAAAATGAAGTGAATTTAAAACATGCAAAGTACACATGAACATCTGGTACATAGGAAGAATTCAACAAATATTTGCTTTCAATATGTAAAGTACCCATGGACATCTGGCACATAGGAAGAATTCAATGAATGTTTGCTCTCAATATTTCTAGGCATCATATTTTCAGAGGGCCACGGAGTATCAGGGATCCTTAAAGGATTCCTGACTGTATGAAAGAGCTAAAGGATTAGGATTATCTTAGTGGAAGAGAGAAGATGGAGTGAGGAAGCAATGGTCTTATTCAAATATTTGAAGGGTCACCATGGAAGAGTGGAATGACTTGCCTCTTATTATTTCAGGGACAAAAGGACATGGCGTAGAAATTCTAAGGAATATATTTCAGACCACTTAAAGGCAGCGTCTCTACTACAGAAAGTGCTAGAAGGCATTCATTTCAAGCATTACTACTGTTAAAAAAATAGGCTACAAAAGACAGGAAAGAATCAAAGCAAAAATGATGGAATATATAAACTCTCCTTTCCTTGATAGAGACACAAGATTAAATTATATATATATATATATATATATATATGGCTGGCTCCTCTAAGAGGCAACAGAGGCAGAAACACTGCCCACGCTTACACCCTATGAATACCTTGCTGAGTGCTTCTATGCAAGTCAACCCCTTGAAATGTGAGCAGGACATCCCTCAGTGCCCTTTCAATAAACAAGCCTCAATAAATGCTCAGAGTAGTAAAGAGAGACATACAGCTATGTGAGTCTCGACCACCTGACTTTTCTGTCCTGACTCTATATGATGGAAGCTGTCTTAGCCCCTGAACACCTACCAGGAACACCTCCAGGTATCCTCACTCCTCAAAGAAAATGATGTTCTGCAACATGACAGCAGCTTTCTCCTAACATGCTCAAGTCTGCTTTCCTACCCAGAGGGCCAGCTTTCCCACCAAACTCAATCTTCCAGGAAGGGATGATGTTGCCTACCAATCGGCTTGCGGATTTGCAGACCTCAGCTAGTCCTCACAGAATGCAATGATGCAGATAAAAAGAGACACTGTTGCACTGTGCTAATGTGTGGGGGCTGGGTGGTGGGACCAAAAAAGTGGACATTTTAGTGACTTGGGAATAAACCAAGGCCATTATCAGTCAGCCTGAAAATATCCCACTGTCTCTGTAGATAGGCCCACTCTCAATTCTTGACACATTTATTTTAACATTTTCTGACAACCACTCTATTTTCAGTCTCCGCTAGCTCATGTCCTCTGTCTTCTTAGAAAAGTAGTCTCCTGAGAGTGCAAGTGGCTTTGTAATGGGCTATAAAATTAGAAGCAGACTTCTGGAGTGGGAGATTGCGAAGAAGAGGTCTCCTTTCCACCACCAGCTCTCCACTAATCACCTTACTGTGTGTTCCCCAGGGAAGGGAACAAATAAACAGAGACACAGAACCCTGAACGACAGGATATGTTCCATTAGCATCATTTAGTTGAAGGAGACAGACGTTCAGAATAAGCGTGAGGTGCAAGGGTGCATTTGCTCTATTCACTTAGAGCTAAAACTTGTTTCAGCATTCTCCATCCATTTTTGCAGAACACAGTCTTTGGGAAACAAATGAAAGAGGCACAATCTGTATTTGTCACACTGACTTTTTGTCTCTACATCTGCCCCAATGATACACTTCTTGCCTTCATTGGAGAGTCAAGGAACTCAAACTCTTTTGGTTATGCATTTAGTTAATGTTTTCTGAACATCTGTTGTTGTCAGACCTTAAAGAGGAGTTGGGGAGACAGTTACCTTATGCACTACAGAATTCTAATTCCAATTCCAATTCAAGGTTCCAATGTCATTCTTAACCTACCTACACTAGCAGTAAATTTGGCCAGGGGAGGGTTTGGTTTGTTTGTTTATAGGCCTAATGTTTAAACTGAAACCCAAAAGGGGTTAACCAGGGCACAGTAAGGGGATGTCAAATCCAGAATGCAGACAAGTGACTTAAGATGAGGAAATAAACAAGGTTATGGAATCCTCCATTCCTTGGTACCTGCCAGCCTCAGCGTTCCTGAGGATAGAGGATGGGGTGAAGAGGGGTGTCTGGGCAGATACATGGTGTTTATTACTCCAAAGTTTGGACATTAAGTCTCTTTCTATGACCCCTGGACCCGGTGAGCAGAACTGGATCAAGAGTCAGTCACGAGGGTTGCTTTTACTTTTCTGGCCTTAGGTACAGAACAGCCATCCACAGTAAAATGTTTACATGGAACTTTTCTTTTTCAATCAAAATAAGAACTTTGAGCTCTTCCCCCTCACCTGCAGTGGGCTCAGTTCTATGCATAGATTTCTAGGGTTTGTTATTGGTTTGGTTCTGTATCACCCTTTGTTTTTTTCTCTGTATTAAATATGTAAGTGAACCCAGCTAGTATTTATTTTCCTCCTGACTTATCTCACTTCGTATTATCTCCTCCAATTCCATTCATGTTGTTGCAAATGGCCAGAGTTCATTCTTTTTTTTTATATATATAACTGAGTAGTATTACACTGTCTTTAAATTTCTCTATAAAATTAGAACTCACATTGTTCTTATTTAGACTGTGGTAGAGCCCATAGATGCCACATAAATTGTAAGCGCTCATTAGTACTTGAAATGAAATAGACCCCATTTCATTATGATCACCAGTCACTCTGGTGGCAAGAAAAATTGTGGAAAAGAGGACCACAAGAAAAGAAAGTTCTTTAGCCTTGAAAAGAACCAGGATAGGGCCCTCCCTGGTGGCGCAGCGGGTTAAAGCACTGCACTGAGAAGCTAAAGCCACTTCTGCATGAGTTCGATTCCCGCCTGCCCCCGGAGGTGACCACATGGCATGGCAGACCTCTCCTGGCCCGCCCGCTGCTCCCCTCAGCAGTGTACTGCGTCGATCTGCCTGTTCTGCTCCCCACTCTGTCTCTGGTGAAGCCTCTCACCGCCCCTGAGCCTCTGGCCTGTACCCCAGTTCTGTATGTACAAATAAATAAATCTTTAAAAAAAAAAAAAAAGAACCAGGATAAAGATGTTACCCTAATCTCACCTAGCAATTAATAAATTAATTCAATTGGGAAAGAAATAATGAATTTGACAGGCATTCTTAGCCAGAAGCTTCACTCACGTTTAAAAGATAATTTTTTCTTTTTCATTATATGGGTATATTATTATAAGACTTTTGGAAAATAAATAAATTTATATATACTCTCATTGTAACCCAGTTGAATGCACTTAATTATAGACATTATTTTTTTGGGGGGAGGCCTGGGCTTAATTTTTGTTAACACATGTTTTAATGTTTATATAGCTTATCTATCAAAAATATTTTCCCAGATGGCTGTCATTATAACCACTAAAGAGACAAAGTTAATATTTTATTATGAAAGTAATAAATATAATTTTTAGAAAAGCTGGAGCATGTTTAAAAAAAAAACAGAAGCCATCTTACCCTAAACCCCATCATCTAGACACTACCACTACTCCAAGAGCTTGGAATGAGAATGACATATTTTATGTTGTTGCAGCTCATTTTAAAAAATAATTATTCATGCAAAAAAAATTATTCATGCATACAGAACTGGGGTACAGATCAGAGGTGTAGGGGCAGTGAGAGGCTTCACCAGAGACAGAGTGGGGAGCAGAACAGGCAGATCAACAAAGTACACTGCTGAGGGGAGCAGTGGGCAGGTCAGGAGAGGTCTGCCTCGCCATGTGGTCACCTTTGGGGTCTGCGCCACCAGGGAGGGCCTGCAGCTCATTTTTTAAAAGATGGCTAAGCCCCACTGAGGGATGCACTATAACCGGCCCAATCTTTCCCCTGTTATAGGAATTTAGTTAAACAAATGTGTTGAAATTTCCCCACAGTCAGGTTTCCAACTGGTAAAAATCGAGGTGTCCTGGGCGTATTTTTTTGCCTATTCCCAAAGTGAGAGGTCTCTGGCAGTGCCATCCTGAGGGATGGAGGTGGGAGGGGACTCAGCAGGCTATAACCTGCCTTCCAACCCTCCCTCCGCCTTCCACCCCTCACCCCTTCTGCCTCCCTGTAGCTCCACCTTCCCAAAGTCTCCCTCAAATTAGCACCAGAGGTGGGAGGGCTCTGGGCTCTTGGTTCTGCTGTATTCTCCTTACTCCGAGAGAGGCTGGACCAGTGATCAATTCTTTTGAAGTTTGCTTAGGTAAATAGCAAATGAAGCTTGCCTTTGCCCTTTCTTCCAGCGCCAAGAAGGATGACTTTGCTTTGCTTAGGAAGTTGCCTCTGTGTGTGTAGAAAGGTTCAGAGAAGCTGCTATTGCCACCCCCTTCTCCTCCTCCCCTCCACCGCCCCCCAGTGTTGGGGAGCTCTTGTCAGGTTACCTGGCCAGACTCCCTAGAGACCTGGGTGTGCTCTCTGCAGCTGGTGCCCATGTCTAATGGCTCCACTACTCACCCGTGGGGAAGAAAGCACGGGAAGGCCTGTGTGAGGTTGTTTGTTACTGCGTTTACCTTGCCCAGAGGTTTTCCTTTTTAGTTTCTGGCCTAATAGTAATAGGATGATCAAATGCTACTGGATCCCTGGCAGGAAAAGACAGTACAATTAGAAGACCAGTGAGTTGGATTAAAAAATATAATTCTCTTTTCTCCTTCCAATTTTGGCAAAGCAGTTTCATTTCTGATTTCATTTCGTGCATCTTTCTTGATTCCCACAAAGGTTTGTTGAAGATGAAAGAAAGTTCTAAACTTGAAAGATATTCAAATGCAAAAGGGTACCGTCATTGGAATTTTTAATGTTTTCACCAATCATATGCCATTAGTAATCAAGGAAAAAGTTGCTCTTCTTAAACAAGATTATTGAATTCTGTTTTTTGAAATTGTAATTATTCAAATTTACCATTTTTTCAGGATCTGTTTTGTTCCTTTATATGTTTGGGGTAACCCATATCATCTGCTTGTTTACTTTGATAAAGCAAATTTTGATCAAGTGTAGAGGTCATTCTTTGTTTTTCTTCACCATTGGACAGTGCCATGAATGAAATCATAAGCTTTCTGAATACATTGACTTGCCATACATTTAAATTTGATGACTAATTTGAGTGACTCTTTTTTTCCTCCGTGACAAAATCCACAATAGTTAAAATATCACTAGCTAACAATATTGAACTTGAAGCACTATTGCAGGTCATAACTATTTCTGTGACTTAAAAAAAATATTTTATTTATTTATATACAGAACTGGGATACAGGCCAGAGGTAAAAGGGCAGTGACAGGATTCACCAGAGACAAGAGTGGGGAGCAGAACACACAGGTCAATGAAGTACACTGCTGAGGGGAGCAGCGAGAGAATCAGGAGAGGTCTGCAGTGCAGCCATGTGAATCACCTCCGGCTGGGGATCAAACTACTGAAGCTGCAGCCAGCTTGCAGTGCTGTGCTTTAATTGGTTGTGCTGCCAGGGAGGGCCCTATTTCTGTGTTTTTTGATGAAATCAGCCCATACATGAATCTTCCATTTTCAATGAAGTCTCCTGTGTGCACCCCATTTTGTAGTACAATCTGACCCTACTTTACCCTTCACCCTGCTCTGCCTTTTAATTTTTCCTTAGACCTTCTCCTTTTAAAATAATACATGAATCACTTAGGCCTTATGTCTGCTGCTAGTTTTTCCACAACTTGAAGGCAAGTTTCACAAAGCAAAGTATCTCAGTCTGTGTCATTTGCCAATGTGTCCCAACTGCCTGGAGGAGCAATGGGTGCAGGTTGGGTGCTACACACCTATTTGTTGCATAACTAGAATGAAAAACAATTGTGTAAAATAGTAATAGTCATTCTACTGGGTTGTTGTTACTGAGCATTGGCCATGAACTTGAGCATTGACACTTGAACATGTATCCTCTCATTCAGGGTTCCCAAGAAACCTATGAGGCAGGTATCATCAACCCCACCACATTAAAGAGGGAAAGTGAGGGCTGGGAACATGAACATGAATCACCTAAAGTCTCAGCCAGTATCGTGAAGAACTTTGAAGCCTGACTCCCATGGAATCAACTCAAGAGAAACAGTGTGGCTGTAATATTATTTATTTATTGAGACCTTATTATTATGGTTCTATAGGATTTCATTTATGTAGGAGAGTTTCCTAAGCAAAAGGCTTTGTCAACCATTGTCCTAGACATTTGAATCAAACCAAATTCTTAGGGTTGCAGCTCCAGATCCCTTTAGCAGATTTCCATGTGATAAATTCTGTGGCATCTCAACTATTTCTTCCACCTCTTGCTATTTGCTACTTGACTTTGCAGAAGAAAAAGTAAACAACTTTTGCATTTTTCATATCTTTATTCTTATTTTAAAACATGCTGTTTTCATCCTTATGTGTTGTGTGATTTGCTCTCATTTCGTGTGTTGGTCTGTGGTGATTCAATCATCTGCCTTCTTCACACTCCAATTCTGTATTCTAGGAGAATGACATCAACTTGACCCATATCGAATCCAGACCTTCCCGCTTAAGGAAAGACGAGTATGAATTTTTCACCTACCTGGATAAACGCAGCTTGCCCACGCTCACAAATATCATCAAGATCTTGAGGCATGAGATTGGTGCCACTGTCCATGAGCTTTCCAGAGATAAGCAGAAAGATACAGGTAAGAAACAGCAGGATTTGGCAATACCAGCAACTCTATATCCTCTTTCTAAACGAATGGCAAAAATAAAGACCTTTGGGCATCTAAGTAGGAGGATGTAGTCATGTGATAAATGTTAGTGCTTTTTTTTTCCTTCCTCCTGGTAGCTGTTAACTTATATTAGTCATTTTCTTTCTGTTGCTACACATTTCTACATCATTTCCTTCCTGAATTATTGTTCTGTCATTCTTCTGTTTTCACAGATGGACTAGTTAGTGCCTCTGGGGTGTTTTCTATGTAAATACAATTTTAAGACAAATTCCTTGGTTATGTCTATTCCCACCTGAGGGTTCTCCCCACCACCTTCGCAGGACATGTCCATGCTGAAGCAGGGACTCACACGGCTCTTTGTTTCAGTGGCTTTTATTGTCACTGTCTATCTTTTCATCTATCTTTTCCACTCGATTTTGAGTTCCTTACAAGCAGGGGGAGTCTCTTATCTATACTTATATGCTCAGTGGCTCACACAGTGCTTAGCAATATGTGCATAGGAAATTTTTGTGAGTAAATGACTCAACAGAGGTGCTATAGAGACTTGCATGGCTGCTTTATCGCCTTGTTGCGATGCTGCCCATTGGCGGTCCCTGTGGGGACAGGCATTAGAATGCAGGAATTACCAGTCTGGGCTTGGGCTGGACAGACTTGGAGTCAAGTCCTACTTCCTCCTCTTATTGGGTAGAGCTGCCTGAAAAGTCCCTTTCACTGCTCTCACCTCAAATTTCCACATGGCTATTGCAGAGATTAAAAGAAATCTCAGATGAACAGCATTCTGTTCATTCCATTGGGGAAATGAAAATAGTGATACTGTTATGATTATGTTTCGCTTAAAAAAATACAGAGAACTATGGTGACCACATCAGTGTTTAAATCCTATTCAGATTGATGATTTCTAATAGACTTTATTGTTTATTTTTATTTCTACTTACTTATTGTTAATTGAGGTAATATTCGGATGCCCCCATTAATTCAGACAACACCATCACTGAGCACCTGCATTCCACCCCTTGTCTCTCTGTCCTCACCTCACTCCACCAGCTCCTGCAGGTGCTTCAGTTCTGTCGTCAGCTGTCAAGGGTTAGTTTTTTTTTTTTTTAAAGATTTAATTTATTTGTGCATACAGAACTGGGGTACAGGCCAGAGGCTCAGGGGTGGTGAGAGGCTTCACCAGAGACAGAGTGGGGAACGAAACCGGCAGATCGACGAAGTACACTGCTGAGGGGAGCAGCGAGAGAATCAGGAGAGGTCTGCCGCGCCATGTGGATCTCCTCCGGGGCAAGCAGGGATCGAACTCAGGCTGAAGTAGCTTGCGCTTCTTAGTGCTGTGCTTTAACTCACTGCGCCACAAGGGAGGGCCCCTTCCAAGTCTTTTGGTGACTTAATAGCTTATTTCTATTTTCACAGAACATGTCCCTTTGTGTGGACTCCCCAATTTGTTTAGCCATTCATCTACTGAAAGACATCTTTTTTGCTGCTAAATTTTGTCAATTGTGAATAAAACTTATAAACATTCACGCGCAGGTTATCTTGGTGGATATAAGTTTCAGCCCATTTGGGAAAATACTTAGAAAATACTTCTGAATATTTAGAATACTGAGATGAACTGCTTTCCCCCACCAAGTGATCAAAAAAAAAGATTTCCATTGTAAAATGAGAAATTTCCCCCACCCCCAAACACTGGAGACTTGAAATCAAGGGTATTCAGATCTCTGTAGCTGAAAATGACATTTTAACAGGCAGAGAAGTTAGCAGGCAACAGACCCACTTCTTAGCACAAGTACCTCCAAGACTTCCCCAGGAGACCTCTCTTCCTGCCTTGTCTTGTGGTCGCAACAGAGACAAGAAAGTCACCCCAATCTGCCGCTCTCACCAAGAGCGGACAGCTATGTCCATGGACTCAGGTCGCTTGGGAGTATAGACGCTTGGGATTCCTCTGATCAGCCCTATCTGCCTTCCTTTCCCTTTTACCTCCCGGGCTGTTCCCCATGACCAACTTATCTTGCTTTTCCGGCCACCTGCTCCCAACAGGAGCTGCAGACCCCCAGGACAAAGGGCTGCTGGATCCTGGGGCCAGTGTAGCCTCTGCTTAGAGCAGGTGGAAGCCAGGCCAGCTGGGGCCCTGCCTGGGGTCAGAAATGAAAGCAATTGACAGGCAGGCAGGCGGCCCCTGAGGAGGCAGGGAAGATGTATGGAGATCGGCTAAAGAACTGGCAGCCTGAACTGAAGGCAAGTAGAGTCTTAATGGGGAGAGGGAAGAATAGTTCAGAGCCCAGACTCCGGAAGCAGGGTGCACCCCACTTGGGGTGACTTGGGATAAATTGCTGACCTTTATAATCCCCCGCTGTATCAGTCACAAGAGTCCCTGCTTCATGGGGTTAATGAAATAATTTGAATGGATCACTGAGAGCAGCTTGGAACATGTTTTAGGGCTTAATAGATAGTCTCTAGTCTTACGTTATCATTGTGATTATAAATAACAGCTTGGATGTAGGAGCTGTGAAAACCAGCCCCCACACAATGACTTTGTCAGAAATGCTGAGAACGGGAGAGTGACCTCCGGGGTCATGCAACCCACAGACTCCTGAATTTGGCATTGTAAAGGAGGGGAGGCCATGACTTGCCTCTAGGCATGGAGTGGAGGCTGAAAAGCGGTGGGTGAGCCTGGGCAGCGTGCTGCCCCATGCTGGAAGTTGCAGGTTTTCAGGAGCTCACAGGCTGGTAAGGGCGATGAAACACCTTGTTGAATGGCTGGCAGGACAGGGCTACAGTTGGGATTTGGCAGGACTTGAAATTGAAGTTGGGTTGACATTTCACCCAGTGAAGAAAAAGTTGCTGAGACAAACTCTTTAAAAACAACACGAGTTTCCTGACCCCTCCCCCCAATTTTTTTTGATGCTTGGCCACCCCAGAATTGCTGCTAGGGAGCCAGGAGGCTGCCGCATCACAGCTCAGCATCTGCTGGAGAGAACTGTCCCTTGGGCTCCTGGGGGAGTTTTTGTGAACTGGTGTCTAGGCCCAGAAACAGATCTCTTTTTAGGGGAAATAACCCTTCCTCTGAAGAGTTGTTCTTTCCATAAAACTCAGTGGGAGAATGATTAGAGGAAGAAAAGAATCATCATAGATCTGAACCTTTGATTCTTTCACTCGACAAAATGCCCTTTCTATTGTGCAGCTCAGATCTCAGGGGCGAGTCTGACAGCAGGTTGAATTTGGAGATCTGAACCCCTCAAATTAATTACACTCAACTACTTTCCGCTCTAGTTTTTAAATCATTCAAAAGGCCATGTGGGTGACCGAAAATGAAAGTTTTCAGTTTCTTAATTGCTAAACCTCCCCACCCAAAACAGCTTAAGGGAAGGTTAATTATGGTGACATGTTAAAGAAGCCCCAACTTTCTAAAATGCCTCCTGGAGAAGCTGATGTGAGTTTAATAGGATTTTAATCCAGAGCGCCTTTTGAATAGTTGAGGTCTATTCTGCTACCCTCTCTCCTGATGACCTCAAATCCTTCTTCAACCCAACATGAAAGAGCATTAATATCTTCCATCGATCAATCTACTAATCCTTTTACCTTTTCCTTTGAGTTGTCTGCATAACATTACATTTAGTGGGGGATGGAAAATTCCTACATGGAGACAGATTATAGCCAGGAGAAGCAGACGGACACAGCATCTTGGGTAGACAGAGGTATAGGATCATCACCTTTTGAGAAATGTGTCTGCTTGGAGTTCTTTCCCAAGACAAAATGGGTATTTAGTGGATTTTGTCCAAGTTGTAGTGATAAGGATCCTGGGGTGTAAGCAAAGGGAGTCTAGACTTGCTAGCGCAACCTGAACTCTCTGAGGAAGCGTGGAGGCTGCTCAGCCAGCCACCCAACCCTCCAGCCAGCCACCCAACCCTCCAGCCAGCCACCCAACCCTCCGTCCACCCACCCACCCACCTACCAGTCTATCTATGTGCCCACTGACATGCGAGGCTGGACGCACTTACTGATTTTATACATTTTAAATTTGATCAGTTCCAAAAACAATGATATGATTGATGGGAACAAATTATTGTGAGAAGAGAAAAGAACCAGTATTTGATTTTTCCCCTCCACTAAGTGTGATCCCCCGCCCCAATCTGCTTGCATTTTCTCTCTTCTGCTTCAGTATTGTTCCCCTGAAGAACAAGGCTGTGACAAAATTGAAAATGCAGATCCATCCTGGGGAAAAGAAGAGTAGGGAACCTCAGAGGAGCCTGAGAAGCCTCTGGGCTTGTGGGCCAAGTGGCAAGTGTGTGAGCATACAATTTTCTTAAGAGAGAAGATTTTCAAAGTGTGTCAAGTTTTGCAGAGTTGAGAACGCTGGGAAAGGCGCTGCTTAGAATTACAGGAGAGTTCAGATGATGGGGGAATTGTCTCCATGCCCATCAGCTGTGTCTGTCTTTCCTCCCTCCCTTTCTTTTGTACATCTGATCTGTGGTTTCATGTCCCTTTGTCCTCTCTGCAATTCCAGATGTCCAACGTCCATTACACTTGGCTCCACACGTGTTTCTCAAGACTAGCTCTGCCCATGAGTCTGGGTCTACAGGAGACCAAGAATCTGCATATTTGTAAAAACACAAGGCTGACTGCGTCTGCCAGTCTTTCCTGGATGCTTGCTGGATGCGTTGATGTTGCCAGAGTCCTGTCTGCTGGAGATGGGACTCTCATTTCAGCAGATTGTCCCTTGAGACAAGCAGACCTGCAGCTGAGAGGACAAGTTCACCCAGGCAGGGGGAGGTGGTACCAACCTAGAACTGGAAGTCACTTCTATGGGTGATAGAAACTTGACTTTTGCAGTGTGTCAGAGGCAACTCTACTTGCTGGCAAGGCAAAACCCTGAGCAATGTTAATACTATGGCCCTGTCCACTTGCCAGGTCACAGAACTTAAGTCTAAGGGAGATCATCAAATTGTAAACAGGTTCTCTCTCATTCAAAGAGG